ACTCAGCTGACCTCGATCTGTTTAGACATCAACTCTTGGTTCATGTCTCTACTTTGGCCCCCTCTTCAGCAGCCGTACCAGAACGGTGAATCTGAGGAGAACCACGAGCAGTTTCTCAAGGCTCTGCAGAACGCTGTTACTACTTTCCTGAACCGCATGAAGAGCAACCACTTGCGTGGCCGCAGCATTACCAACGACAGCGCTGTGCTATCGCTCTTCCAGTCCATCAACAACATGCATCCTCAGCTGCTGGACATCCTAAACCAGCTGGATGAAAAGAGATGTGAGTTTGTTCTCCATTAATGAATTCCTGTCTTGTCATGTCCAGTCCTTCAGCTATGATGTCCTGGATGTTAACAGTGTACTACGAGGGGCTGCAGGATAAGTTGGCACAGGTGCGCGACGCTCGGGCTGCCCTCAACGCGCTTCGTGACGAACACAGAGAGAAGCTGCGCAGAGCTGCAGAGGAGGCCGAGAGACAAAGACAGATCCAACTTGCACAGAAGTTGGAGATCATGAGGCAGAAAAAGCAGGTAATGTTTCTTTTTTTTCATTAAGTGAAGATTTTCATTGTATTTACCAGTCTAACATATTTTTATTTTTTTTAGGAGTACCTGGAGATGCAGAGACAGCTGGCCATTCAGCGCCTCCAGGAGCAGGAGAAGGAGAGGCAGATGCGTTTGGAGCAACAAAAACACACAATCCAAATGAGAGCTCAGATGCCTGCTTTCCCTCTGCCCTACGCCCAGGTACTCATCACCCACTGAAATGGGACTTCTCTTGAAATGGAAATCTACCTTGTAAAAAAATACAAAAACATATATGAATTGACCTTTGACATTGTTGTCCAGATGCAGTCTTTGCCTCCTAATGTAGCTGGAGGGCATGTATACCAGCCTGGTGGTCCACCAAGCTACCCTGGCACTTTCAGCCCTGCTGGTTCTGTGGAGGGCTCACCTATGCACAACATGTATATGAGTCAGCCTGGGCAGAACGCACCTGTACCAGGACAGTACCAGGCTATGCCTCCGCCTGCCACAGGTGAGGGAGATTCATTAGGAAATGGATTATGTGGTGGGTTTGTTCAACTTGACAAAGCAAGTTCATAACACAACTCAGTAAAATGACAAAATAAAATGCTTTAGATTCAATTCAGTTTATTTGTACAGTGCCAATTTACAACATGTCATCTCAAGGCACTTTACAGTTCACCAGATCATACAGTCAAATTGATTCAAAGTTTTCTATCTAAGGAAAACCAGTTGTTTGCGTCGACTCACTGATGCCAATGCAATCCAAGATTAACTAAAAAATGAAATAGAAGAAAAATAAAAGCAGAATAAAAGCAAATAAAGATAAAAACTTGATAAAAGCAGGCAGTAAAGCAAATAAAACAGTTGGACCGCAACCTTAAACTAATAATACCTCACTTAACAGTTTAAATTCAACAGTTAAAGGCACATCTATAATCAAATCAAATGAGTTTCTAACTGACTTAGAAAAACTCAGGCAAGATTAGGATGATGTTTGTACCACTGTTTTATTTGTGCATTAAAACCTTTTTTACCACAATATTAGCGATTAAATGTGTGGATTTTATTTTAAAGAGCTTTTTAAGTCCATAGTAACTTGTATATTTTGAATACCTTGAATGTAGGGTTGTCACGATACTAAACTTTTCAACTCGATACCGATACTAAGGAAAATATTCGATACTCAATACCATTTTCAATACCACAAGGATAAAAACAAAGACTCCAAAATTCAACAGAAATATTTTCATTAATAAATAAAATACAATAAATAAACACAATAAAGGTTGTATGCTGTGCACAATATTAAGCAAGCTTGATAAAAAACTTATAAAATTCAAATTAAGTGTTCCTTCCTTGGCTATGCTTTGCACACATAACAGTGACACTAGCCAAACCAGTTAAGAAACAAAAATAATTCTCAGCAGCTGCACCTCTTAAAAAAAAAAAGTCTGAAACTGAAAAGAGCACAGAATTATTCAATCACACAGTGTTCTGAAAGTGCATTTTCCTCTATTCTGCACTTTAGATGAATGACTGCTTAGGTGCCACTGGTGACGGCACTGTATCGATACTTTTAAAAACGAGTATTGTATCCGGATACAACATTTCAGTATCGATACTTTTTTGAGTTTTGATACTTTTGACAACCCTACTTGAATGATAACAATTCCTTTTAATTCTGCTTTTTCTACATTATACTTTTCATTGCTAATATAAGCTAAATAGAAATGTTTAAGTTCAGCACTAAATAACTTTTGCTAATGTTACCTGTTTTTGTTTTTTTTTCTCCAGACCCCAGTATGGTAAATGCTTACATGTATCAGGCTGCAGGCACCAATGGGCAGCCTCCTCCTGGCCAGGCCCCACCCACAACCAGCCCACCGTACTCCAACTATCAGCCCACACCCACTCAGGCCTACCAGGTGTGATTGTCCCCCCGACTGAACGTCTGCTCATTTAAAAACAAAGCTGGTCGTTTTAAATGAATAACCATTGCATGTTGTGTGCAGAATGTGGTCTCCCAAGCCCAAAGTATACCCCCCATGTCGCAAGCAGCCCCCACCAATGGGATGGCTTACATGAGTTACCAACCATACAACATGCAGAACATGATCTCGGCGTTGCCAGGACAGGACCCCAACATGCCTCCCTCACAGCCCTACATGCAGGGACAGCAGCCCATGTACCAGCAGGTCAGTTCATTAAGGCTAACACCTTTTTAAATGCTATTATTGCTCTAGTGATATTTTGTTTATTACATATTCAACCCTCATGGCTTACAAATTACTTGGACCTATGCATTTAAACAGCCTTGAAAAAGTAGCCATGTTTTGTTATCTTACAGGTAGAACCTTATAACATGTTTGTCTCTTTTTTTACATTAGTCGGATTGGATTTATGTTTTTTGTTTTTAAACCTCAATTCTTTTGGATTGTTGGATCATAGTCCTGTAGCTCATTGTTGGATTTTATTTAACGGAATCAGAGCAAAAGGAGCTGGATGCTGTTTCAGGTGTTTTACCTGTAAGTGTTAAAAATGCTTATTCTTCAAATTAAGACTCATAGGAGGCATTTTTCTGCAAGGCATCAGTGCTGTGATTGGATGTTTGCCTGCTTATCCAAACCAGTTTATCAAAGCCCTATGTTAAAATGGGATATGCTGCCACTGGATATTCACACTTAGGTTGCTAAAGGACTATTTATGCAAAGTAACTGTATTGTTTAAACTTAAGGAGGTTCAAGAGATTAAACCTAAACTATGTTGTTATTTTCAGAGTTTTTTTTTGTTTTGTTTGTTTTTAACCTTTGCATTTCAATCCTGTTAGGTTGCTCCCCCTGGTGGCCAGCCCCAGGCACAGCAGCAGCAGCCCCAGGCACAACAGCAAGTGCCTCAAGCAATCCCTGGCAGTGCAGAAGCAGAGCTCATCTCCTTTGACTGAAAACTTCCAGGCTGCGATGTTTCACACACTACACCTTCTTTCTTCTTTTCACACCTCTCTCCTAGACACAGAGGATTCCTTTTGGAAACAGAAACTTAATTCCAACCTTGCTGTGATGTTGTGGCAAAGTGAAATATTGTGATGATGTTGCAGAACTTTTGGTCTCTTTGCTTCTCCCCCCCCAATGAGGTGAGAGAGTAGAGGGGGGGTAAAGGTGCTACAGAGAACCCCATAACCCAGACCCTTCATCTTTCAGCTGACATGTATGTAGTGTTTGTTTATTAAATGAACGACTAAAGCGCAAAAATAGTCTCTGGTAATCAAGACAATATGATCCTGTTTGGACGACAAAAATAAGACACAAGCATCTTTTTTTCTCCCTATTTTTCTAAAAAGAAATCATTAGCATGTTGAACTGATTTTATGTTCTGGAATGAAAGTGACGTATTGCAGCCAATTTTGTCACTGATTGAGGAAACGTCTGTAAACAGTGATTAAGAAGGTGTAGATCTCTAAAGGGAGGAGTTGGTGAAAGCTGTCCATCTTATCTAGTCAAAATTGGGTCCTTACATTTTAGGATTTATTTGTTATGCGATGCTTGGAGTGTGTCTACAATCAGTAATTGGATTATAAACTATACTAAGTGTTGTCTAACCGTTGTTACATAATTAAAGAACAGCTTTTTACCATTGGTTACCAATAAAAACTAAAATCAGCCTGTGGACCCTAACCATGACATGTATTCACATTATTGATGTGAATGCATGAGCATTCTGGTGTAATAATCCCATGTAAATTGAGCTGCAGAGAAAATTCAGGTAGGCACTCTTTCTCAAGTGTACTTGTTTTCCTTATTTTGTTTTTAGAAATGTGGAAATGCTTATAGAATGAAACGTGCTGCATGTATGTATCACACTTTCTGTATCTCTTCAGTTTCCACGTGTGAACTTCTTTAATTCCATCATACTGATCTGTCTGACTTTAAAGTAATTTTAAAATTATATTTAATAAACATCAGATTCTTACTGTCTCAATGTTTCAGATTTTTATTTTCTACCCGGATTGAAAAGGTTGCACCATTAACACATAAATTCCTTTGATTTACAGTGATTTGTTGGAGACATAAATGAAAATTGTGCAAGACACTGATGGCCGATATAAACAGACAAATGCATTTAATGATTCACAAATACACAATACACATGATACAAAAAACATCTACTGTTATATTTTGGAATAAAGGAGAGCTAAAACAAAAACAGCAAGACGTGCAGTTGTTTGGAGAGGAAATAAGAAACACGGCACCATGTACTGGTACGTTGACTGGATCCAAACAAACTACACCATTTCCATATATTGCACCCATAGTTCAAACATTTTAGTTAGTATGCTGATAAAGATTCTCAGTCATCCAGGTCATAGTCATTCCGTAAAAGTTTAAAAAAAACAATTGGTTTCCAAGTCCAGTGGATTGTTTTTTAAACTTTTACGGAATTTTAGTTAGTAATACTTTAAGAACTACTCTTAAAAAAAAAAAAAACATTTCAGTCTGTTAAAGTTTGTTAAAAAATACTTTTTTTGTTCTTCTTGATTGGTTTGTGTAAAATCTGCTGTAGATTATACTATAGGGATAACCTTCAGAGCTTCCTAAAGATGAGGCATTTGTAATAGTCTTCCATTTCAATCTGAAATGAGAATTTTATAAATGTTTGAAAAAAAAAAAACATTTATTGTATTGTAAATACAATGAGAGTCTTAAGGCACATTATTCCTCACCATTCTCTCCAAACGCAGCCCATTTCCATAGGCCTTCTGTCTCAGCACATCCAGGTCTGGAAGACCCCATTCTGGGTTCCTATGCAGCAGAACGAAAATGTATTCCAGTTGGAAGCTTTGCACTTTACAGTGTGGAAAAAGTATTCTGTATACAAACATGATGCTGCTTGATTGTCAATAAGCTTAACTGGTGCCCAGTTTTCATGGGCTTATTAGACACTATCAAATAATAGACAACACAATAGCCATGTGACAATAAAAAGAGCAAAGCATGGCATGATAAAAGTCCATGTAAATTTGCCCATATAAAGAGAATAGTTCATAATTGATACAAAATACTTTGCTGCAGATACCAGGACTTTTCCAAAATTTTGCCAGATCAGAAACATAATGCATTTATTTGCACCATGTTTTTCTCCCACACTGTTTACATTTGATCACTGCTGCATTTAAAGAAATATAAATGTCATGACATAAATAAAATCAAATTTCTTTTTTTACACTCTGTATAGAAAATGACAATTAAAGGTGTCTTAGTTATACTTTTCAAACAGCCAGCACAGAATCCATATTTCATCTTTCCAAAAAAAAAAAAAAAAACACAACAGGATTTTTAAATGGAATTAGTTCAAAAAGAGAGTTTTATAAATTACAATATAAATGAAAGTAAAAAGAAAAGGAAATTCATCTTCTTTTGATATTACAAAGTTCACACAAACGGGAATGATCAGGTGTGCCTTTAAATCGACCCAATTCTACAGCCAGAGGTAAAGTGCTAGACCTTAACTGAGCCTTCTGTCTAAATGAAACAAAATATAAGGTTCTGTAACGATCATTTTTAAACTGAACATAATTTTTAAGCTTTGGCTTCTTTCATAAATCCTGCTTCAATTGGACTGACAAATCCTGACTAAATCCCTCACATTTTTTAACAAATTCTTAAGAATCTTTCCGAATGCTTCTAATGTTGAGTTGTTGAGCGGCTGCCCTAAACGTAAGAAATAAAAAGCTTTTTACTCACAGTTTCCTTAGTTCTTTATCCAGAACTTCATTGCAGCTGGGTGTGATGATGCCATTAACAGCAAACACCTGAAAAATATTTGTCTGTTTAAAGCAAATTTAGGGATTATGTTTTATTCACCGTCAGTCTGATGTTTACATGCAATCAATCATAAATGTCATGTTGATTTTGAGCATTTAAGGTTTGTAATTGTTCTTTTTCCATTGTGGGTTATAAAACTATAACTTCTAATGATATAAAAAATTAAAATTGGGTGTGCAGGTTTAGATGTATTTTGCGTTAATTTTATAATATCATAGATGTACACAGACACTCAGGTTATTATTTGGTTCAAGTTGCATATCGACCAGATGCCTTTGTAGCCAAGAACAAACTTGTGATATAACAATAGTCTGATTATATGCACAGTTGTCCTATATCATCATACAGTGTATGACTCTTTCACAGTCTAGTTGCCTTTTAAAAATGTGTCATGGTTCCATTATTCTGGGAATTGTATCACAATCATTCACACCAGTTTGCTGGAGTTTTGAGGCATCCCTCCTTACAGAACTGGCATACCTCTGTCTGCTCGTAGTTCACCTTAATCACACATATTTTCTATGGGTCTCAGTTAAGAACATTGTGATGCCTAGTCTTAAACATTAACTTTTGTTTCCCCCTGCAAATGTTCAGTAACTTGTTGGATTGTTTAGAGTCCCCATTCATTAGGAAATTGTCTGCAGGCTCTAACTTACCTGATTTCTTGAAATGTTGCTTCAATATTTCTGCATAGTGTTCCATCCATTTTGGTCAAAACTTTAATTTTAGTTCTGTTAGACCAATACATATGTGCATAAAAGTGAAGGTCTTCTTTCCTGATATGTAGGCCTTATACCCACAATTTTCTCTAGAACACATTTTTCTCTTGGATCAAAGCCAGTTTCCATCTCAAACAGAACAAAACTATTTATACTTTTTGAATATTTGCCACACATTTTTGAAACTGAAATTCATGTATGTAGTTGATAGATCCATCACACGTAGAGTACAGCTCTTAACCATTACAATCGAAAGAGTCATCCTTGCCCTCATCTAGATAAATAAAACTCCTTTAGTGCTGCATTTTATTATTGAGTTTCCTAAAGAAGACAACATAATAATTATATGTTTTCACTTTTAAAGAGCCACCATTCTGTCTTTATATTTACAGTAGCGTTTTTGTTTTTATTACATTTTTTAACCAAAAAGTGGTAGATACTCTTTCTGCTATAAGTTGCTGATATTTGTGAAAAATCACATTAGAAATTACATAATGACAAGAAAAAAATTGATCTAACTAAATGATACTAACAGCTTTAATGTCATCCTCTTGTGCAAATCTAGAGCAGTTATTCAATGATTTTTTTTAATTCTTTAACCTGCTTTTCTAAGTATATATATATTTTTATATGTACATATATGTTGGTGATGAAGGGTGTAACATGCCAAGTTGTTTTTGCTACATACCCCATATGTTATGAAAAGGCCATTTGGTTTAAGGATCTGCCCGGCTCCACTGAAAACACCCTTGAGGTAATTTAAGAAGCAAAATGGACATTAGTTGTTAAAGTCTGAGCAACTCCAGCCAGTGAGATTAAAATATTCAGTTAGTTTTTCAGATCCCTACCTGTGCTGTTTTGAAGGAGCTGTACTGCAGGAGATTAATGGCAATAATAACATCACAGGAATTAGGAGAAACACCTGTCCATTTGTCCCAAGGTTCGCTGGCATCCAGCAGGATGGGCTGCAGCACAGTTTTAACATGGGTAGCAGCTATATATGCCTTTATGCTGAAAATGAATACAAATCCCTTCAGTCCACTTTTTTAAAAGACATTTAAATAAAATGCAAATGTATTTTGATTGACAAACCTGTCACGACACTCCTCTTTAATGTCTGATGGCTGCCATGTAACAAAGGGTAATTTCTGTGCAAATCTAATGACATGTTGTCCTGTTCCGGAGCCAATCTCCAAGGCAAACAATTGCTTGTGTGACTGGTCCTCCAACACATCTTCAAGCACCTCACAGAGACCCTCCCAGTTCCTCTCTGCCTGAGGTGACAGCAGCATGGTCTGGAAGAGAGACAGAAAAACAGGTCAGTTTATTATTTCAGGAATAACAGATTTATGTATCATTTCAACCAATGGATAACTCTTACCTTCTCTTGTGCTGGGTTACAGAGTCTAATGAAGAGGTAACATATTGGTGTAGAGTGGATGTGGGGTGAGTGTCGGTAACAGCAGATGGATCCACAGATTACCTGGTTAAGAGGATTCAGTCTGCACTCCACCCCAGCATAGAAAGGCTGGGATAAAAATGTACTCTGAGGATAAATAGTATAAATACTCAAAGGTGTGTTGACTAATGTGATAATACACTATATTGCCAAAAGTATTTGCTCACCCATCCAAATTATTGGAATCAGGTGTTCCAATCACTTCCATGGCCACAGGTGTATAAATTCAAGCACCTAGGCATGCAGACTGTTTTTACAAACATTTGTGAAAGAATGGGTCGCTCTCAGGAGCTCAGTGAATTCCAGCGTGGAACTGTGATAGGATGCCACCTGTGCAACAAATCCAGTCGTGAAATTTCCTCGCTCCTAAATATTCCACAGTCAACTGTCAGCTGTATTATAAGAAAATGGAAGTGTTTGGGAACGACAGCAACTCAGCCACGAAGTGGTAGGCCACGTAAACTGACGGAGCGGGGTCAGCGGATGCTGACGCGCATAGTGCGAAGAGGTCGCCAACTTTCTGCAGAGTCAATCACTACAGACCTCCAAACTTCATGTGGCCTTCAGATTAGCTCAAGAACAGTGCGCAGAGAGCTTCATGGAATGGGTTTCCATGGTCGAGCAGCTGCATCCAAGCCATACATCACCAAGTGCAATGCAAAGCGTCGGATGCGGTGGTGTAAAGCACGCCGCCACTGGACTCTAGAGCAGTGGAGACGCGTTCTCTGGAGTGACGAATCGCGCTTCTCCATCTGGCAATCTGATGGACGGGTCTGGGTTTGGCGGTTGCCAGGAGAACGGTACTTGTCTGACTGCATTGTGCCAAGTGTAAAGTTTGGTGGAGGGGGGATTATGGTGTGAGGTTGTTTTTCAGGAGCTGGGCTTGGCCCCTTAGTTCCAGTGAAAGGAACTCTGAATGCTTCAGCATACCAAGACATTTTGGACAATTCCATGCTCCCAACTTTGTGGGAACAGTTTGGAGCTGGCCCCTTCCTCTTCCAACATGACTGTGCACCAGTGCACAAAGCAAGGTCCATAAAGACATGGATGACAGAGTCTGGTGTGGATGAACTTGACTGGCCTGCACAGAGTCCTGACCTCAACCCGATAGAACACCTTTGGGATGAATTAGAGCGGAGACTGAGAGCCAGGCCTTCTCGTCCAACATCAGTGTGCGACCTCACAAATGCGCTTCTGGAAGAATGGTCAAAAATTCCCATAAACACACTCATAAACCTTGTGGACAGCCTTCCCAGAAGAGTTGAAGCTGTTCTAGCTGCAAAGGGTGGACCGACGTCATATTGAACCCTATGGATTAGGAACGGGATGTCACTTAAGCTCATATGTGAGTCAAGGCAGGTGAGCAAATACTTTTGGCAATATAGTGTATGTCTATAATGTGCAGGAAAATATATGTTTTTATTACATTAAATGGACAAACTTTTAATTTGGAAGATTTTTTTTACTCATACAAAAAATTAGATATTTAATTTTCTATATATTTTGGATAATAATGTATTAAACGTTAATATTCTTATTGTAACCATAAGCAGGATCTGTGGTCATGTACTCTATGGTGATCTATGAGCAACAATCAAAATAGAAATTATGATGAAAATAGGAATTTAAATAGTGTTTAGAACACTAAGCCATACATTTTTGTAACATATATAATGTATTTTTTATAATCACAGTTTTTATGTCAGGCAAATAAATTGTACCTCAAATCTAAACTAATTGATTGTTTTGATAAGCAATATCATAATCTCTCTCAAAACCTATAAATCACATATTGAATAAATTAAGAAAAAAAATATGCATATGTTCTTCCCATAATTTTTTTCTTAACTTTAATTGTTCAAATATTTTAATTCTGAATAATTTGCTTTCTAAATACCACTATAGTGATACCTGGATATTTTAATATCAAACTAAATCAGGACCTCTGCTGGTCCAGTTTGCCGTTATGTCATAAAAAAAAAAAAAAAATAGACTTTAAAGCACATCTATACAGAGTATAGATGTGCTTTAAATATGAGCTCCCTTTCTTTATCCCACCGAGTCACTTCTCAATTACAATCCATTGTAAATCCTTTAAATAAAAAGATACACAGAAGTCAGAAATCCACCAAACACTTTAAAATCCTATATGATCACTTCACAGATAAAACTCAGAAAAGGCTTTGGTAAATATTTTGTCTGCTTAGATATGCTTAGAGCAATATTTACCTATGCGCGTCTTGTCCCTCATGAGCACCCATACGTTTTCTAACAGTTCATGTAATGCATTGTGGGTAGGTCAGGCTCAGGGAGGTCGCCATGTGCTGTTGAGGTGCTGGAATTGGACCTGATTGGGATCATCTAGATTAAATTTTTGCTTCAGCGGAGCTTCGGTTAACGTTAGCATGTACTGCACCACGCGCTGCCTGCGGACCGCTTTGAAGGCTGCCGCCAGCACCCACCGGTAGGTCACCCCGGAACCGCTGCTCAGCCCTGCTTCTTAATGGAGGCTTTCTTCAAGGACAGACAGACTGGCTCTGTTGCTACTTTTTAATGTTTAAAGTACCAGTTTATCCCATTTAACCCCTTGAAAATGATGCATATGGTGTTTAACTACATATTACATCGAGTTGCATGCTCTGTAGAGGTGTTTTAAGAAAGTTAGCCGGCGGTTAAAATCTCCCCTCCGGACTTTAATTCCAGCATCATGTTTCTGTGTGGTAAATTATGTAAAAACACATCTAGACTTTAAAGTTAAACCTTTCTGGCGGACCGTATTCTCTTTAATAGGTTGACATTTAAAGCCTCATCCTCAGAGGAGTGTTTGTTGCTAACTAGCTAGCCAGATATCTGGCTAGCTAGTTAGCAACAAACCAACCAGTAATATAGAGAAAATGGATCTGGCACCAATATTCACCAGCTCTCTCTGCAGCTTTGTATTTATTTTTTTATGAACATCTCTGGGTTGTTTGTAAGAATTCAGTATGGAAACATGAAGCTGATTTTATAACATGCAGTAGGTCATATGCTAATCTGTCCAAAACACATAAAACATGTACCTCCTAGCTCAGAAATGATAGAAATAAATGACTAAAACATTGCATGTATCAAATAATACAGGCTACAGTGTATTAATTTAAACAGGTTTAAGTAACTTGTGGTTATTTTTAGTAAGCTATGTGCTTACAAACTGATACATGAAAATTTATTAAAAAAATTAGAATACTTTTCTCTTTTAGATAATATTTGATAGTGTCAAGAAAACTATTAGTAATAAAATTCAATGATTTGTTTGTTTTAATTTATTTTCAAAATGCATATTAAAGTGGATATAATCAGTAACATGCAATAGCTATTAATACTGTCATAATAAATACATGAAATGTTATCTAAATTTAGCAGCATTTCTGTCAAAGCCAATAGTAGTAGTAAAAGTCACTTTGTCGTATGTGATAATTAACAGACTAAATGAATAGAAATTTAAAGTATACTAGATTTGTGAATATTAAACAGTCTTAACTTTAGCTCATTAGAAAGTTAGCTTTTATCTGTAGCTTTAAGCATCGTTGACAAACCGGCTGATTGACTGCAGTGTGCATGTTTAAAAGATAAATGAATCAAGGTCAACAACTTGAGAGTTTAGAGTGACATCCTAGGATCAGGAATAGAAAAGAGAGACAACAGGGTCAGTTATCTTTTTTTCTGTCTTCTTAAGATTAGCTGTTTCCCTTTAAATCTTCGAAATCAGTGATTTTCAAATGATTTAACTTTTGATAACAACAAGGGAAGAATCTGTAACCCCAATGATCTGTTGAGCACAGAAGCAGTATACCAATATAACATGAATGTGTGAGTATAAGTATATTCTTAGCTAAATTTAAAGGAATAGTACACCCAAAACATGATTAGCCTTCATTTTCTACTCACCCCCATGCTGAACAACACTCTGGAGTACTTTTTTGATATCTCAAATGCATCTGGAGATCTGGGAGGCTTCTTGCTGTCTACTGACATTCAAATAATGGAGGTCTATGGTGCCCGAGAAAGAAAGGTCCATAAAAGTCCACAAAAAACGTGTCAATATTCCTCCATACTGCTCGTCCAATGTATTCCAAGTGTCCTGAGTGGGTAGCATCCAGAATTTACTCGAAACGAAGTCATTTAGAATGTTTTTAGAGCATAAACGGTAGTGTATAGGATTTCCTGAAAGCGCGCGCGTGTTCATGACGCTACGGAAGCCGGCAGACCAAACCAGATGAAAGTGCGCATTCAGCGTCTGCTCTGCCAATAATGCAAGCGTAGAAGAAGAAATGTGCTGTTTACCTGTGCAAAGAAAGAAACAACGAAAGAAAAAATGTCTGAGGACTTCAGTGTTGAGGAAGGGCATGAGTTCTTTGCCGAGCTGAATGCGCACTTTCATCCGGTTTGGTCTGCCGCGGTTTCCGTAGCGTCGTGAACACGCTTTCAGGAAATCCTATACACTACTGTTTATGCTCTAAAAACATTCTAAATGACTTTGTTTTGAGTAAATTCTGGATGCTACCCACTCAGGACACTTGGAATACATTGGACGAGCAGTATGGAGGAATATTGACACGTTTTTTGTGGACTTTTAAGGACCTTTCTGCCTCGGGCACAATAGACCTCCATTATTTGAATGTCAGCAGACAGCAAGAAGCCTCCCAGATCTCCAGATGCATTTGAGATATCAAAAAAGTACTCCAGAGTGTTGTTCAGCATGGGGGTGAGTAGAAAATGAAGGCTAATCATGTTTTGGGTGTACTATTCCTTTAAAATGCTGTAGGACCCCTTTTTTATCTTTGTGAACAATGAATTATGTCTTGTTTTTAGGTAATAAGCAGGTATTGCCGTTTTCTCTTTTAGGCACCACCTTCGACAGCAGGCACCGGTCCTGTGTTCTCTCCGACTTCTGAAAACCAGTCCGACCTCCCAATCAGACGTCATAGCCACGCCTCCTCTGGATGGAGCACCCAAACAGTACTCCCCTAAAATCCAACAGCTGGTCAATGACATTGCCAGCCTCACATTGTTAGAGGTGTCGGACCTTAATGAGCTCC